AACATGATCCTTCCAAACCTGCAGGCAATGCTCCCTTGTGATCTGTTTCTTTTTACTTAAGAAACCACAGGCATTTTCCCGAGGCAATAAACAGCTTTCTTCAATTTTAATGACTTCATAGTATTCAATCATTTAAATGCTTATTTTCCTTTTTGTTTTTGCTACTATAGTTTTATTTACTTATTTTTAAACAGGATCTCACTACATAACCCTGGAACTTGCCATGTAGACCAGGCTGGCCTGGTACTCACAGAGATCCACCTGCCTCTGCCTAGGAGTGCTGGGATTAAAGACTAGTCCCACATCAACCTCAATCACGAAAAGAAGGGAAAAGAAGAGAGAGCCTCAGCCAGGTGCGGTGGTACACACCTTTGACCCAGCACCCAGGGAGCAGAGGCAGGCAGATCGCTGCAGTTTGAAGTCAGCCTGGTCTACAAAGCGAGTTCCAGAACAGCCAGGACTATGAGGAAAAACCCTGTCTTAAACCAAACAAACACACATAAAGAAGAGAGAGCCTGTGAGATGACTCAGCAGGTAAAGTCATTTGGTCTGCAGGTCTAATGTGACTTTGGAAGACAAAACCTGACTCCCTAGACTTGTCTTCTGATCTCAATACACATGAGGTGGTGCGCGCATACACTCTCTCCAATAATAATAATTATAATAAAGAAAAGAAACAGGAGGCTGGTGGCTCAGTGCTTGCCTAGCATATGTGAGACCCTAGCTTCTGTTCCAGCATCAGGGAAAAAAGGGAAGGGAGAGAAAGATGAGGACTAGAGTGTTCTTTCTGGACAGTTACTAATAACCCGTGTTACCAGATCCCATTTTCCAGCTGGAATCACTTACTAATTAATTTGCTTCCCTAATATTGTTACCTCACATAGGGTGTGTAAGGTTCTAGGAGCCAAGGGAGGGATTTTTGCTTTTCATCAGGGTGGGGGAAGGGAGGAGTCTCAGTCCCTCTGGGCTTCACTGAGGAGTGTGGCAGAGGCCCTGGTTGCTGCTAGTGCTGTGGAGCAATGGGTAGCACAGGCTTGTCCTATTGGCCTTCCTTCCTACTGCTGCTATCACAAGTATCCCACTGTTTTGTCACCTTTGGGTACCACCTTCTGAAGGGACAGGACAGAATGGAAGCAGATATATGTCTCCAGAAGTCACCAACTCAGTCAGCAGTGCTGCTAAACGACCATTGATGTGGACCAGTGCGGATTTTTTTTCTGTATTTCGAGACAGGTTTCCTTATACCTTTAGTGTCTGTCCTGGCACTCACTCTGTAGACTAGTCTGGCCTCGAACTTACAGAGTTCTGCCTGCCTCTGCCTCCCCAGTGCTGGAGTTAAAGGCGTGTAAGACCTCTGTCCAACTTTTTTATTATTGTTTTTTGTTTGTTTGTTTTGGGACAGGATTTCTCTGTGTAATTCTGGGTATCCAGGAACTTGCTCTGTAAATCAGGCTAGGCCTGAATTTAGATCAGAGATCCGTCTGCCTCTGTGTCCAGTGCTGGGATTAAAGTCGTATACCACCACCCCTGGCTGGGATCAGGCAGTGGTTTAGGTTTTTTTTTTTTTTTTTTTTTTTTTTTTTCGAGACAGGGTTTCTCTGTGGCTTTGGAGGCTGTCCTGGAACTCACTTTGTAGACCAGGCTGGCCTCGAACTCACAGAGATCCGCCTGCCTCTGTCTCCCGAGTGCTGGGATTAAAGGCGGTTGCCACCAACGCCCGCTGGTTTAGGTTTTTAAGTAGACAATTTCTTGCAGGGGAATTCCCACCTCGTCTGGCTGACCCTCCAGCTACAGGTTGTAACTGATGTAGTCAGGCCTACAGAGAGACTCACGAACCCTGCGCCCACACAGAACATTATGGAAAGCCTCACACCAACATCAATATTTCAGTGTCACCTAACACAATTCAAGCTTGATATAATTCAATAAAAAGATGCCGATGAAGGGTTTAAGAGATGTCTCACTGGTTAAGAGCACGGGCTGCTCTTCCAGAAGACCTGGGTTCCAGTCCCAGGACCCATGTGACAGGTAACAGTTGTCTGTAATCCAGTTCTAGAGGACCCAACACCCTCCTTTGACTTCCGCAGGCACTAGGCATGCATGTGGTGCACAGACACACACCCAGGGAAAACACACGTGCACATAACAAATTAGAAACAATCAGAAAAAGAAGCCAGTGAACAGGCAAGGGTCAACTGCATACTGGGCATGTCTGTAGTGTCATTTTAGAGCTTGGACTGTTTTGTTTTTTCCCTTGGAGAAAACCAGAACAATGTTGTATTTCTGAGCTAGCTCTTAAAATTCTTTGTAATTCAGCCAGGCGTTGGTGGCGCACGCCTTTAATCCCAGCACTCAGGAGGCAGAGGCAGAGGCAGGCGGATCTCTGTGAGTTCAAGGCCAGCCCTGTCTACAGAGCAAGTTCCAGGACAGGCTCCAAAATGATGCAAAGAAACCCTGTCTCAAAAAACAAAACAACAACAAAATCTTTGTAATTCATATTTATTTGCTTTTTATTTTGTTTTTGCTTTTTTTTTTCCAAGACAGGGTTTCTCTGTATTGTTTTGGAGGCTGTCCTGGAACTTGCTCTTTAGACCAGGCTAGTTTTGAACTCAGAGATCCGCCTGCCTCTGCCTCCTGAGTGCTGGGATTAAAGGCATGCACCACCACCACCCGGCTCCTAACTAATTTCTTAATAAAAGAGAGCTATTAATTTGCAATAATGATTTTTTTAAAAAAATAGAGACTAGAGAGACGGCTCATCATTTAAGAGCACCTGTTGTGGCAGAGGACCTGGGCTCAATTCCCAGCATCCACATGGTGGCTCAGAGCTATCCATTTCCATAACTCCAGTTCCGGGTGGTCCAATGGCCTCTCCTGAACTCTGAGGACACCAGGCTCACATGTGATGCATAGATGGACATACAGGCAAAATGCTCATACACAAAAAATAAATCTAAATAAAACAACTTTAGGACAGAATATAGGACAAAGACCCCCTCCCTTGGGGACGAGGAATAATGTCTTGTGTAGCTCAGCCTGGCCCGGGATCTGCAGTCTTGCTCCAGCCTTCCAAGTGCTCTCAGCAGAGGTCGTCAAACAGCTGATTTGGGAAGGTTTTTCTAGGCATTATAGGGAGCGCTCAAAGCTCAGTGCTGGCAATCAGTGGTTCTTTTTGTTTCCCTCCCAATCTGTGACCTTGTTAATGACAGCTACAGCACTGACATCACTGTGCTTTAAGGTGAGACAGTAGGCTGGGATTTGGCTTATCCACAGATTTAAGTAAAGAGGAACATTTTGTGAGGAACTATACGCTGGCTAGGAAGAATTCCTCAAGCCAGGCATGGCTCTTCACCCCTGAAATCACTCTAAACCGAGGCAGGATTGCTACGCATGCGGAGCAGCCTGGTGAGATCTTGCCTGAAAAAAATCAAAACTGAGACTGAGGAGCGAGGTGAGGTGGAGTTAGGGACAAACATGACTACTCAACGTTTAGAGCGCAAGGCGTCCTACAGGGGGCTTCCAGCCAGTCCAGCTTAGGTGACAGAAGATTCCCACAGCCCGGCCTTATCCTTCATCTGGCTGCAGGCAAATTTCGGACCTCAGCCGGGTCTGATAGCATCCCTAAACTGTGACCACGGTAAATACATTGTTTTAAACCACTACATTTTGGAGGCTCTGGTGGTTTGCATGAGATACCCCCCCACAGTCTTGGGCATTTGATCACTTTGTTTTCCGTTGGGAGTGCTGGAGGAAGTGTCTAACTGGGAGCTGGCTTGAGGGTTTTAAAAGCCATGTGCTAGCTGGGCAGTGGTAGGGCACACTGTTAATCCCAGCACTCGGGAGGCAGAGGCAGGCAGATCTCTGTGAGTTCAAGGCCAGCTTGACCTACAGAGCTAGGTTCAGAACAGCCTCCAAAGCTACAGACAAAGCTTGTCTTGAAAAACAAAACAAAGCCGGGCTTTGGTGGCGCACGCCTTTAATCCCAGCACTCGGGAGGCAGAGGCAGGCGGATCTCTGTGAGTTCGAGACCAGCCTGGACTACCAAGCGAGTTCCAAGACAGCCTCCAAAGCCACAGAGAAACCCTGTCTCGAAAAACCAAAAAAAAATACTATAACCAATGCCATTATAAAAGAAAGTGCAGAAGCAGGTAGATCTACAGCCTGGTCTACAAAGAGAGTGCATGATGGCAGAGAAGGCCGGCCGAGAGCTCACATCTGCATCTGCATCTGCAAGCAGAAGGCAGAGAGATTCTGGGAATGGTGCCAGTCAAAGTCCCTTTCCCGTGACATATCTCTTCCAAGACCATGCTTTCTAACCCTCCCCAAACGGTTCTACCAACTGGAGACCAAGCATTGAAACATGAGCCCATGGGGCCATTCTCATTCAACCACCACAAGGTCTTAGGCTCCAAGTCCAGAGAATACAATTAAAGCATTGATAAAGAAAGAGGTGATAAGGAGCATGACCCTTGAAAAAGAGTGGCCCTGTAAGTTAACCAAGGTAGCAATTAGCACCTTGTAGCATTCTAGAAGGCAGCTCTGATGGAACCCCAGTCGGAGTTCCCAGCCAGTGAATGTTCCAGCTGACATTTCCCAGTGTTTTGTGTGTCCACAGTTAACCTGCTCTTAGTTAAAATCTCTTAGATGTTTCTCTATAATCCCTTTCCAAGAAGCAGTTGCTTCTAGAGGCCTACAGCAGTCACACGTGTTTTCAGAGACTCACTTATGGAATTGTGCAAAGAGATCTTCTGGGCTTGTTGCCTGAGATTCCTTGAGCTACAAAGGTGACTGGAACAGAGCCATCACGTTCTTGGTGACTTTTCAGTGCACTGGTGTTGTTTCTTATGACAACGTTGGAAGGCTCATGGTTGAGCAATCACACAGGTTAAATGAGCCAGGGTCACTCAGTCACACACACGCACACACACACACACACACACACACACACACACACACACACACACACACACACACACACACACACAAAGCCAACAGAGGCATTCCAGAGGGTTCCATTTATTCCTGTTTCCTTAGAAGAGCAGAGCAGGTGATTTCTTAGAAGGGCTGACAAGATACACAGAATTTGTCCAGGGGGAAGGTTTCCTAAGAGACTGATAACGGAATGTTTTCCTCACTCACCTGGACTCTTGAGCAAAGGTCTTTACAGTTTACCTGATGAGTGAGTGAAGCTAGGACTCTGAAGCCTTAAACCGAGTGGCCTGGAGTCAGGTAGCCTATGGGGCTCCTATAAATAGTGAGATTGGAAAGAACTCATGCTGTAATGAATTCCACCCTAGCTAACGAGGTGGGGTATCCCATCCTATCTGGAAAAAGGCAAAAAAAAAAAAAAAAAAAAAAAAGAATGCCATCAGGCTCATCTTGGTGGCCGGGGTGGGGGGGGGGGGTGGGGAACGGACAGACAGATGGACATGCACACTACAGAATATGCACCTCCAGGCTTTACAGATGTCCTTGATGTTAACATCAGGTATTCCTGATCTGTGTTCAGCCGGTCTCAGAGGATACAGCAAATTGTTTTTGTTAGGCAGGTGTGATGGCACAGGTGTGATCCCAGACAGAACTCTGGAGGATAGGGTAGACGATCAGGAATCTCAGGTCAGCAGGACCACACTGTGAGACCCTGTGACAGAACAAATAGATTAAATGCACAATCAAATAAACTTCCTGGCTGAGTATATTGGCACATATGTCTTATGCTACCACCCAGAAGGTAGAATCAGGGAGAGCAGGAGTTCAAGACCAGCTTGGGTTAAGAGAGAACCTGTTTCTTTCGTTCTTTTTTTGTTTTTTGAGGTAGGGTTTCTCTGTGGCTTTGGAAGCTGTCCTGGAACTAGCTATTGTAGATCAGGCTGGCCTCGAACTCACAGAGATCTGCCTGCCTCTGCCTCTCCAGTGCTGGGATTAAAGGCGTGCGCCACCAACGGCCTGTTGAGACCCTGTTTCAACAACAACAACAACCCCCCCAAGGCCTTCTGTAAAATCCTGTATAATATCAACTCTATTGTCAGTGTTGCCTAAGGGTTCCACATGGGAGGAACTTAGAGCGGATGAAGGTGCTTACAGTTATCCTGTTTCCATTATCTCAAACTGACCTTGGAGAAATGTTTTCTACGTGTCCTCAACAAGGAGGTTGTGATAGACAATTTACTATCAAGCAAGGAGCCTTTCCTGCCATCAAATGCTGGTTAACAAAGAATATAATTGTCCAAAACTGTAGAGTGTAGTCTTCCTTGCTAGCCACAGTTGCAGTCCCCAAATAACACACAAGACACTGTATTAATTATGAAGCTGTTGGCCGTTTGCTTGTTTCTTACTGGCTAGCTCTGACTTAAATATTTAATCCATAATTGTTAATCTAAGTATTTCTCTTACCGGACAAAGGGTCCAGACCTCTTACTCCTCTGGAGGCTACATCGTGTCTCTCTGTGTCTCTCTTTCCCAGAATCCTCCTCGACTCCTAGTCCCACCTAGCTTGCTTCCCTATTGGCCAACAGTGCTTTATTCAAACCAATCAGACACATTTTTACAGAATGACATCTCCCAACACAAAACCCTTTGTGGAACACAACAAAAGGGAAATTGGTACCTAGAGTGTTGAGGAGCTTACACTCTGGACACCCTAATGTTCCAGGATCCTTAGAAAACTCATCAACCCAACATATGTCAGAAGTGTGTACTAGTCAGGGTTCTCTAGAGGAACAGAACTGACCGAATGAATCTATCTACCTACCTACACCTGTAAAGGTCATTTATTAGAATGGCTTAAAGGTTGTGGTCCATTGATTGCCTACCAATGGAAAGTCCAAGAATCCAGTTGTTTAGTCTTCTCAGACAAGTGACGTTTATCTACTGAATCTCAGGACACCCCCCCCCCCAACTGGGGAGTGCATCAATTCAGAGGAAACCTTACACAGCGGAAGGGGGAGATAAGATTTTCACCTGGTCATTTTGTCAAGTGTAGCTTGCAGCACATCAAAAGCTGCAATTCTGTCACAAGGCTCCCTCAGGCCATCTGTCTGAGACTGCTCCCTCCCCACTCCTAATCCTAGGCCTTATGACACTGGCCTCCATCTCCAGAGCTATGCTGATTGATGAACTTACAGAAGTGGGATGGTGTGACGGGTATCCCTTGGAGACTGGTTGTCCTTGGTTTCCCCACTCTGCATGACCCCTTGGAGATCCATCTGTATATATTAATAGCAATGAGGACCAGAGAGATGGTTCCGTGGTTAAGAAGCACTTGTTCTTGCAGAGGATGTAGATTCAGTTCCTAGAACCCACGTGGGGTACTTCATAAGCACCTATTACTTCAGTCCCAGGGATCCAATGTCCTCTTCTGATCTCCACAGGTGCCAGGAACCCACAAGGTACCCATACAGACATTCAGGAAAATGACCATGCACATGAAATAAAATAAGTAGATAAATCTACAAAGAGGTTGAATTTTTACGTTTTAAAAAGTGTTTATGTGGGGGGGGAGTACATTCCATGACGTGAGTGCAGAGTACAGAGGATAACTTGTGGGAGTTGGTTCTCCCCGCCTACCACGTGGATTCTGGGGCTCATATTGCCAGGAGCATCCTCAAGCTGCCCTTGAACTCACAGCGATCTGCCTGCCTCTGCCTCTGGAGTGCTGGGATTAAAGGTGACTGCTTTTTTTTTTTAAAAGCCTGGATCTCATTTTTACTCCATATCCCGGTCTGGTCTTGAACTCAGGGGCAATCCTCCTGCCTCAGTGTTCACATTACAGACATAATCAGCACTCTCAATTACACAGTTCTCTGCTTTTTATCCACGATATGGATGTGCCAGGTAGGTGGTAGGAGGTAGGCTTGTGTGTAACCATTTGTCTATCAAAGGACATTATAAGTGTACTTAGTTACTACAGATAATGCTACTACAAACATTTGCGTAAGAGGATCTGTGTGAAAATAAGTTTTTATTTCTCTGGGATAAGTGCCAAAAAGTACAAATGCTGGGTCATAGCATAAATCTATTTTCAGTCTTAAACGGAACTGCCAAAATTTTCTAAAGTGTCAGTATCATTTTACATTCCCTCCAGCAAATGACCCAGTTTCTCTACAGTTTCTCCAGCATCTAGTGTTGTCAGTATTTTTCATTCTTGTCAATCTGATAGGTTGACTGTGTATATTGCATTGTAGTTGTTTTCTTTGATTTTGAAACATGGTCTCACACAACTGAGGCTGGCCTCAAATTTCTTATCTTCCTGTGTGTGCCTCCAAAGTGCTTGGATTACAAGTGTTACCATCTCCCTTTGCTTTTAAATTTTTAAGCAGTGTCTCACTATGTAGACCTGGCTGCTTGGAACTCACTATATGGGGGGGGGCTGGCCTAGAGCTCTTAGAAATCTGCTTACATCGGACTCCTGATTGCTAGGAGGGCACCACCACATCTGGCACACCTTTTTTTAAAAGATGGGGGTGTTCTATTTGCATGTATGCCTGCAAGACAGAAAAGGGCATCAGAGGAAGAGGGCATCAGACCCCACTATAGATGGTTTGTGAGCAACCGTGTGGTTGCTGGGAATTGAACTCAGGATCCCTGGAATAGCAGCCAGTGCTCTTTTTTTGGGGAGAGGGTTCAAGACAAGGTTTCTCTGTAGCTTTGGAGGCTGTCCTGGCACTCACTCTGTAGACCAGGCTGGCCTCCAACTCACAGAGATCTGCCTGCCTCTGCCTCCCGAGTGCTGGGATTAAAGGCGCACACATGAATGCCCGGCACAGTCAGTGCTCTTAACCACTGAGCCGTCTCTCCAGCCCCTGGCACACCTTATTCCTTCTGGATCCTTCCTCTTTTCCACTTCACATTCCTTTTAATTTCACACCCTTTTCACCCCCCTAGTTTCCATGCACATCAGAAAACATGCGTTGCTTACCTTTGTGAGATTAATTTAGCATGGTGACTTTAGATTCATGTAACAGTGTTCTCTGGTCCCATCTCTTTTC